GTGACTTCGTTGTGCAAATCCTCTTCGGTGGCAGCTTCCCAGAACAACCCCTAGCACTAGCTCCCACCTGTGGGTAATGGCGGCCTTCTGGACAACATGGGCCCAATAGGCCAGGGGAGGGTTCTGCTCCTGATGACTGGAGACCACACCCTGGAAAGACTGACTCTTTTCTGCAACTGTTTATTAATGTTAGGTATTGATGGGTTGAAAAGATAATTACCTGATGCTCCCAGGACTTCTCTTTTTCCTGAAATACTTTCTTCTATTCAATAACCCCTAGTACTCCTGCCAAAGTAGACACCTCTCTCAGGTGTTTTGGAGAGTCAGACTGCTCTGGGACAAACACTATGTCAAGCATTTCATCTAGAAGGCCCCTTCCCCCAGAATACGTGTTCCTGTGACAACCAAGAGGAACAACACCATCGTAAACTCTCCCTGTCTGCAATACCACAGGCAGGTTTTGCATAAATCTCCCCCTGCTCACAGCTCTTTCACTTGATTGAGAGTTTCAGTCCTTCAAACCCAGTGACCCACCTGTGTGGAGTTTTTTACTATTTAGGAATGCTTATCTATGGTGTTAAAACAGCTGGCCCTGTCTTCAGATTTCTGAAACCCCTATTTTCAGCCCACCATCATGGGAAAATTAGAACCAGTCTTGGCTATGGGAATAAACTAAAACATGATGTCTTTTACCCAAAAGCTACATGTGAAAATCAACTCTTAGTCTTGGGTTTACAGTTCTTTTATCACTATCTTCTTCTAGTCTTGATGGAGTCCTACTGTGGCAAAAGAAGCCTTTTTTTAAAAAATAAGAATCATTTTTGAAAAAAACATTTTTATAGATGAATACTCACACTAATCTGGCAGATTTAATCTTAGAATTTCTTTAATTATCCAGTTAAAGATCTAAGTATTAAATGGTTGTGCTTTTTTTTTTATTTATTGATTTTGAGAGAGAAGAAGAGAGACTCGGGAGGGGCAGGGAGAGAGGGAGAGAGAGAGAATCCCAAGCAGGCTCCGCACTGCCAGCACAGAGCCTGATGTGGGGTTCAAACTCATGAACCATGAGATCATGACCTGAGCCAAAACCAAGAGCTGGATGTTCAACCAACTGAGCCACCTAGGCTCCCCTAAATATTTGTACTTTTTAGTTGTTAGCACTATGAAGGCAAAAATACTTTCTTCATTGGAGTTACTATTTTACTGAATACCAGTGAATATATACTATAGTCTGGAAACAGACTAAAGTTATCCTTTTCTTATTGCATATTAAGTATTTATGCAGATTTGCTTAAAATCCTTCCTGTATAAATTGCTTTGTTAGGTTTTGGGTTGGGGTTAGAATGAGTTTGGTAAAAATGTGATTCTCCAAGCTCTGCCCTTCCAGCTCTCTTCTCCTCCCTGCCAAGTTCATTGGTCTAACTCGGTCTGAATAGGAAGGGATAGCAAAGAGCTTTAATGGCCTCTGTCTGGCTTAGGTTAGTAAAATGTTTGGTAGAATATTAATGACCAGAGAACATGTATGTCACACCTTTAGAAAGAAGGAAAAAATAGTAATTTAATTCCCAATGTGTACCTTTGGTTCTTTTTTTTTTTTTTTTAAGTAAAAATAAGAAACTGCACTGGAAAAGAAAATCTCCATCTACATTGGTTGTTATGGTAAGATATTATTTGGTAAGTTTCTTCCCAGCTAGACTGTAAACTCTATGAGAGCAGAGACCGTATGTGTTCTCCACTCTATTCCTGAGCCTGGCACAGTGTCTGGAGAATGATAGGATCTCACTCTAGTGTCGACTCGCTTACTGGATAAATTCCACAATAGATCAAGTGAAAAATCAGGTTACAAAGCAATATGTATTTTAAGGCCCTATTGTGTAAAAGATGATGTATTTACATGTACCTATCCATATGTATGTGTGTGCGTGCATGTGCGTGCATACACATAGGAAAATGTCACAGGATGGTGGAATTATAGATGATCTCTCTTTTCCTTTTTTTTTTTTTAACTTTGCTAAATTTTATGCATTTTTTGCTACAGGTATGTGCTGTTTTTGTAATCTAGAGGAAGACCTTTAGAAGAAGAGGGAAAGAGTGGGGGATAAAGAATAAAAGATAAAAGATGGAGAATGAAGAAACAGTTGCCTCCAGGAGACAGATTGTTTAATCCTAAAGACGTAACTGGTAGGATTTCAAGCTTCAATTTGGAAAGGCTCCTGTCACCTCTCTGACCATTACATAAAGGTGAATACTACCTACTCTATATACCCTGGCTACCTTCAGAAGCAAAGAGCTGCCCCAGCTCTGTCTTCACATGGGAGATGGATTTGAGGGATTCTTCATGGCTCAGAAAGCTCAGAATTGCCAGCTTTCCATATTAGAGATATTCCATCCTCTCCAACCCTTAGCCTGGCCTCAGACATGGTGCCCTCACCTTGGAAGCTTCCCTGCTTCACTGGCATATGGTTTAGTCCCAGCCTGTGTCAAGAACATAAAACGTGATGCTAGCCCTAGAATTCTCCTGGGCTTTGGTCTGGACATCTGCCCTGTAACCTTGCCCCACCTCCATGTTGCCCAGACTCTCCTTCCCAAGACTGCTCCAGGCTTCTGCTCCAACATGCCTTGATTGACCCCCCACTCCCCTGATTCCAAGTATCCTGTAGTCTTTTGCCAACTCCCTCCATAGCCCCCTTGCAAGAGCTCATAAGAAGGTGCCAGGCTCTCACTGTCAACTTTCAGCTTCATCCTGCCTTGGAGTGTGACCTATTCCGGGGTGGAGGGAAGTCCTACTCTCATTACTCTCTTCATTCTTTCAGTTGACCCCCAAACTTTCACCGTGTGCCCCACATACTTTGCAAGGCCCAAGACAGCATTCAGGAACAAGCTCTCCATACGTGGAATGGATGGATAAGAGACTGAGTGGCCATCCCCAAACCCTGCTGCTTCAGTCTTGTGAGAGCTGGGTTAGTCCAGTGCAGTCAGCCTCTACCTGGAAAGTTAGGCAGCACAAGGAGCAGAGCATCTGGGGTGTCTTCCTAGGGATTGGTGATGCTTCTTGTAGTGTCTTTAAAAGGCCAGTAAGAGCAGCAAAACAGAATAGACTGTTCTACTTCCACAGTACCTAGAGCTATGCCAAGGGTATATGGGGAAGGAGCTACCTCCTGCCAGCAGGCCTTGAAAGGATAGGCAAGGATTTATTACACTCTCAAGTGTAGGAACTTTAAAATTAGATTCCTCCAAGGCTTGAGACCAGGTCTGCTATATTTTGGAGATCAGATGGGGTAGAGCGTAGAAGATCAGATCAGACACAAGAACATGGAGGCCAGGTCCTGGTACTTTTCTTGGACCATCAGATAAATGTACAGATGACCTCTCATTAGTCCAGCTCTAATCTGACTTTGGGAGGTGTGGGGAGATAATGTATGATCTACAGTGACTTACACATTTTACCATGCTCAAAGGCATGCAGATGGGATTGGATTTGGGAGTCGGGGAAGGAACAGAGACTCCACTGAAGTTCTCAGTTTCCTGGTTTCCTTCAGTGGCTGTCTCATTGCCCCTCTCCTCCCTGGGTTTAGGTTTCAGCTTCCTGAGAACAGCTGGGAAATGCCAGTATAGAGCGAGTATGCATCTTCCTCAATCCTAATTTTTCATCCATGTGGAGAGAATTCCACTAGTGGCTCTACTACTCTCTCTCTCTTGCCTGATGTGAGTTTGCAAGGAAGGAAGGGCATGCATAGCTTTGTCCCTCCATCTCTCAAGATCGGACTACCCAAAGCAAGCTTATGTTCTGCTCTCCTATGTCCCATGAGGGGTCTGAACCCATAGGAAGGCTACAATGACCCTATATTGTGTCTGCCCAGGTAGGAAATCTGGTCTAATCCTGAGGTCCTATAAAGGAACCCCATCCCACCAGAGGTATAAACAGTATTCTCCAGTATCTGCTTTGCTGATAATAAAGGCAATATTGGCTCTCCATTTGCTCATTCCTTTGTCTTATTTTTTAATTGGCTCAGAACCTGGTCTGGGAAAAGAGGCTGTCATGCATTGACCTCTTCAGACTCTAGGAGCTGTGTTTGCAGAAAGAGAATTTGCTGTGTCTGGCCAGCATGGATTTGGAGCAAAAGAGCCACAGTCCCAGGAGAATCTCTTCCCTTGATGAACTGCAAAACCCTCTTTTTCCAAGACTGGATCCCAGAGGTCTGCTCAGAGGCAGGAGGATGGATGGGAAGACCTCCATGGGAGTGGAGGGGTCTTCGCTTAAGCAACATAAATACTCTTGGGCAGACCAATCACAAGAACCCAGCCAAATGGATAAAGGAGAAGCTAAGACTATTGAGCATCCCTTATACCTGCCATAACTTCTGGAAGACCACCAACCACACCTAATTTCTCTCCTCTCTTGGACCTCAGTTTATTCTATGACTCCCTGAATGAAAGCCAAACACCAGAATGTGAAATACAGTGCAATTTATTGAGAAAAGAAAGTGCAACATAATCATCACCAGAGGATCCACAGCTGGGGGAATTAAGGGGACAAAGGCAAGGTCAGGACATGATGCCAATGTGAAGAAGGCACCCTGAGAACCAACAGTCTAGAGAACTTGACCATTCACCCTCTAGCACCCCCGCCTCCTCAGCGGGGCTGAAACGTGCCTACTTCAGACCATCGATCGACTCCCAGTGAGAAAGGGAGATGGGCCAGGGTAGGAACAGGCCAGGCCGGAAAAGCCCACAGTGGTATGGGCTCAGGTATTGCTACCATCATCAGGAGCCATCACAGGCTCATCTGGGGGCATCATCCTCTGGGACTAGCAGCTGGACCTTCCTAGCCTAGGAGAGGTCTTGGGGATGGAGGAGCCAGGAAGAAGTTCAGCCCCTTCTCCGGGGAACTTGAGGAAAAGCGAGGCTGAGGTTGGCATTTGTTGATGCCAAGCAAAGTAGGAGGTGCTGTGGCAGGCTGAGAGGGATGCAGGTGGGCGTGGACACGTGACCCCAGAGGATCACTTGGAGCAGTGCTGGCTCGAGCTGGTGGTCTGGGAGAAGCGGATGCTGGTGCTGCCTCCACTGCCAGACTTATAGCTGCTGCCTCCCGAGGTCTGGATGCCACCAGAGGCGGAGCCAATTCCACTCCGGCTCACAGAGCTGCTGCCTCCGCTGCTGAGCCTGCCCCCGCTGCTGCCACTCTGGTAGCCGCCGCTGCTGCCACCACTGAGCCCTCCATAGCCACCACTGCTGCCTCTGCTGCTGCTGCCGCCTCTGTAGCCACCGCTGCTGCTGGCACTGACCCCTCCGTGGCTTCCAGCAGAGCCGCTGCTGGTGCTGGTGACATTGCTGATCACCGCTGCAGAGAACAGGCACTCAATTCACGCAAAAGCCTGGGTCTGCATCACAACTCTACCCTGCTTGGCTTGTGAATTGGAGGAAGGTGCTTAACTTCTCTGAGGCCTCAACTTGTAAATAAATGACAAGAGTGAGCCTGGCTCTCTGGCGTCCTTCCCCAAGAACAAGAGCCAGCAGCATCCATGGAAATTTCTGGTTCTCCAACCTAGGGAATTCCCCAAGACCATGGGCATTTTAGCTTTGGCCTTAGAGTTTCCCAGCGTATGTGAGGCGGGGAGTGTGTGGCCATGGCCCTAGCACTGTTTGGTGGCCTGGTTTCCTTGCATGGGCCAGCCTCTCCTGCTGTAGATCAGTCAGTGAGGGTGTCTCTGTGGCCACCCTTTTTGCAACCCAGGGAGAGAATTTTTGAAGGGCTACTTACAAATGCACACAGCACTCTGACACTCTCCAGACATCCTACAAAGGAAGAGAAAGAGATGTGGACTATTTCTGCAATGAGTCATTAGCCACAGAGCTGAGGGTTCATTACCTTGGGAGCCACGTTCCCCTATTTGCCCTACTAGAGGTCAAGCTCTCGGGGGAAGAAGGCTATTCCAAGTGTCTCTATGACCACATCTCCCCAGGAAAAGGAGCTTGTGGGGCCAGGGGATGGGGTTGAGGTGCTCAGAAGCTTCACCAGCCATCCTCCATTTCTCCATCTGTCTGCCCTCTTTCCCTTAGTTTCCAGAGCATCTGTTCCAGGCAAAGTGCTCAACTACCCAGCCCCCAATTGGTTAGTCCCGCCTCACCACTCTTCCCCTGCTGAGACCGTCTTTCTACCTCCCTCACCCAGCCCTGGTTTTCTTCTGATTTTCCTCTCCCAGGAAGCCTTCTCCAGTGAGCCTTCCCGGGGTGGGGGTAGGGGTGGTGGTTCAAGGTAAGGTAAAATGTGAGAGGGGCTGACACTCAACACATGAGGAGCTTGAAAATGTCCTGCCCACACAGCCCATCTTTCTGTGCCTCATTCATGTTCATGGAGCAGGCACGTCCACACATCTGAGCAGACATGGAGTGCGTCTGCACCCCTTGCCAGTGTGGGCCCCCCTGTGGTCGACCACTCTGTCCTTATCCCACAATCCCCAGTACACATAGCACCATCTTCACTCTCACACCTTTCATTGATTTATTAAAAAAAAAAAAAAAAAAAAAAAAAAAAAATCCATAAGCTTCCTTCTCACCCCTGAGTTCTGCTTCCTCCATCAGATTGGGAGCTGCCTGAGGACAGAGGTTCAACACAGGATGCATGGAGCAACTAGTCAGCAGAAAGATCTCTCAATTCTTGACAATCCTTTGGCATTTGATATCCACTCCCTAAGCCCTTAACTGCTGCTTGATGCTGTGCTATTTTTCCAGAGTATGTGTGCATCGGCCGCCTGCCCTGTGGACTCAGCCTCAGGGGTGGAAAGTTACAAGACTCTCTCTACTGTGCTGTCCAATATGGTAACTACTAGTGACATGAAGCTAGTCACATTTATTAAAATTAAATTAAGTATAAAACTCAGTTCCTCAGTTGCACTAACCATTAGTACTCAAGTGACTAATGGCTACGGTACTGGAGAGCACATAAAACATTTCTGTCATCTCGGGAAGTTCCAGGGGTACCTGGATGGCTCAGGTGATTAAGCGTGCAACTTTGGCTTAGGTCATGATCCCACAGTTAGTGAGTTTGGGCGTCGCATTGGGGTCTCTGCTGTCAGTATAAAGCCTGCTTCGGATCCTCTGTCCCCCTCTCTCTCTGCCCCTCCCCACCTCAAAAATAAATAAACATTTAAAAAAAAGTTCCAGTGGACATCACTATAACTTTTGTCATAACCCCAAAGCACTTTTCTGTACTCATTGCTCATAAGAATGATCAACAGAGCTGTGTAATACATATATCCATGGTAAATAGGAGAATTGGACGATCTTGATTGACAAAAAAAAAAAAAAAATGGGGGGCACTTGAATCCTAAATTCTGTTGTTCAGGAGGTTCCTTACCCCTTGTCTGAGTTGTCCTCTCCAATCATCTTGCTCTCTTTCTTCATTATCAAAGGTCACTCTAAAATCCTATCTGGAGAATGCTGGCCCCACAGCCCCTCACCTGCATTCCTCGCCCTCCAGCAGCTTGCGGTAGGTGGCGATCTCCATGTCTAGGGCCAGCTTCACGTTCATCAACTCCTGGTAGTCCCGCAGCAGCCGGGCCAGGTCATCTTTGGCCTTCTGTAAGGCAGCCTGCAGCTCTTGGAGCTTTGCATTGGCGTCCTTGAGGGCCAGCTCCCCACGCTGCTCAGCTTCAGCGATGGCCACCTGCAGGTTGGCGTTCTGGGCCAGGAGGAGGTAGGAGACTAATTAGCATAGTGATCAAGAAACAGCTGATTTTTCCTGAAAGTTCTTTTCTCCATTCAGCATCCCTCCATCCCTTACCACAATGGCACATGCCCAGGAAACAGAAGTCCATTTTGCAATTGGTCTATTTATCTATGGCCCACTGAAACTAACTCCTGTCTCATCAAGAAAAGGAACACTGGGGCACCTGGGTGGCTCAGTCGGTTAAGTGTCCGACTTCAGCTCAGGTCATGATCTCACAGTTTGTGAGTTCAAGCCCCACGTCAGGGTCTGTGCTGACAGCTCGGAACCTGGAGCCTGCTTCAGATTCTGTGTCTCTTTCTCTCTCTCTGTCCCTCCCCCAACTTGTGTTCTGTCTCTGTCTCTCAAAAAAAAATAAATGTAAAAAAAAATTTTTTTTTAAAGAAAAGGAACACTGATTCACTGGTAAAGGCAGTAGTGGTAACTGGTAACTGGTTTTTTGCAAGACTGTTAAATACTCCCCTGCCTAATCAGTTTATTCCAGTGACACAAATCAGCCATTGAGGTAATGTGAAGTTCATGACAAATAGTTCACAGAAGGTAGATCCTACTGAGAACGGAGTGTTTAAGGCCCTCCCTACAATTGCAAGATTTGCTGGGAAAGCCAGCAGGAGCAACCATCTCTCCTTAGGGAACTTGAAAGATTTCTGAGGGAATCTCAGGGAGAATGGAGTCTCCCAGAGACTGCTATCCCACATGTGACACCATGGAAGGACAGAGAAAGCGTGTGGCAGAGGCACAATTGTTGCTCCTCTTTCTCCCCATGGCCCAGAAGACCTCCAGGATCTCTCCAATAGGACCAGACCCACCTGCTTCTTAACATTCTCGATCTCGGCCCGCAGCCTCTGGATCATCCTGTTGAGCTCCATGATCTCACTCTTAGTGTTCTTGAGGTCATCTCCATGCCTGCCGGCCGTGGTCTGCAGCTCCCCAAGCTGACAGAGGGGAAACCAATCAACATAGTTTCACAAAGTGTTAGAATATTCTTGATGAAGGTCAGCAGGACCTAAACCTAGAGTATGCAGGCAAGGAGAGGGCTCCCACCTTGGTCTGGTACAGAGCCTCAGCCTCTGCCTTGCTCCTCTGGGCAATTTCCTCATACTGGGCCTTGACCTCGGCGATGATGCTGTCCAGGTCCAGGCAGCGGTTGTTGTCCATGGACAGGACCACGGACGTGTCACTGACATGACTCTGCATCTGAGACAGCTCCTATAGGGAACATGGATGGTCATTCTCACCATCCCTTGGCCCCAGGAGATGCTGGGAATGAATAAGTCCAAGAATCTTCTACCAGCAGAGATATCCCAAAAATGGGGCCAGGAATGGAACAGTCAGAAAAATAAGCTTGCATTTCAGGCCTGGCTACAGCCTAAAAGATGCCAGGCAACAAAGTTAAAGAAAAAAAGTAAATGTGCAAATAGAATAAGGTTGTCAGCCTGAGAGTATCAGTCAGTGAGCTCAACTATGTGGGTTTCCAGGGGACTGGAGTAGGGAGGAGTGCTCTGAAGGAACTAGCTGTGATACTGGCATAGGTGCCAGAGGGAAGGTGTAGAACAAAAAGGGCTGAGGACAGAAGGAAAACAAAGAAGTCAGAGAGGGACCCTGGCCTTGTGGCCCAGGTCTATGCAGGCTGGGTAAGCTAAGTTAGCATTTCCCAGGTAGGGTGTAGCTGAGTTCTGAGCTCTGTTGCTGGTTTTGTGAGTGTTTTGCCCCTTAACTATCCCCTATGGTCTTGCTTGGGAAGCATGTCAGAGAAGATGCAGACAGGAAGGCTCTGGAGCTCAGCAAAGCAAGAAATCAAGGAATCACCATCTCATAGAGGGTCCTCAGGAAGTTCAGTTCATCTGTCAGGCTGTCCACCTTGGCCTGTAGCTCCACCTTGTTCATGTACGCAGCATCCACATCCTGTGAGGTGTGCAGACAGGCAGTCAGACACCCAAAAGAATGACCCGCAGCCCCCTTACCACCCACAGCTCTTTCCTAAGCCTTTGTCCCTCCTCTTGTCCCCCCCCCCCCCCCCCCCCCCGTCCTTCCCCTAATTTCCACTTCTCACCTTCCCTCTTAATAGAAAATCAAAGTGGTTTTCTTCCCTTTAGTTGCTTTGACCAACCAAACCCTGATGCTTTAACAAAATATAAACCATATTAGCCAGGCATGGAGTATGGGTAGATAAATCACATTTATCTAACATGTGACTTTGGAGGTTTGGTACCAGGTAACCAGCCTTCTGAATAGAAAGGAGGATATTCTATTCTTCTCACTACTTCATCTTTACAATCAAGTCAGCTGCAAGTATTGGCTGATTGTTCTTATTAATACCATCCAGGGTACCCTGTAGGCTGCAAACCTTGATTAATGCTACACATAAATTCTTCATTATTTGTTCGCATTACTGATCAGTTCATTAGTCACAGTGACATTGTAAGGCATCTTTCCTCACCAATAACCTATTTAGAGCTGCTTCCTTCGTTTCCAAAACTGTCAGGAAAAATATAAACCCCACACCCAGCATAGGGTCACTGTGCCCCAGAGCTGCTGGCTCTGCCCTGACTCCATGGGGGTGGTGCCCAGAAATAGAGCCTTGATCTGTTCCTCCCCGCTTGCTCACCTTCTTGAACCCCACAAACTCATTCTCAGCCGCATTGCGCTTGTTGATCTCATCTTCATATCTGGGACAGAAAGAAGCACATATTTGGACAGTGACATTCCAGAAATAAAAAAAAAAAAAAAATTGAGGATCCCAAGCACTCATCCAGAATCTTCTCACCAGGGGACAGGACCAGCTTCATGGGCGTGTGACCTGTGCAGTTACACAGGTCCCTGAGTTCAGAAAGTCCTAACAGTTTAATGTTCTGCTGGCACCAACCCGATTTTTTAACAAGGGCCCTGCATTTTCGTTGTGCACTGAGCCCCTAGAATTACATAACCCATCCTGCTTGAAGACCTTTCAAAGCTCAGGCCGCTGCCTCGTCCTCCTTCCTCCAAGCCCAGGTAACAGGCTGAAGTGTGGGGAGATGGGAGAGGGAGGAGGGGAGGAGGGGAGGTGGGGAGGAGGCGCCAGGGGCGTGACTTCTTGTCTGGCTGTGACAAAGGTCACAAAGCTCAATGTGTGTACGTGAGACCCAGAGAGGTATTTGCTCAGACTGGGTGCTTCTGCCTCTGCCCTCTCTGTTTCTCTTTCCATTAAGAGTTGCTTCTTACAGGAATTTGGGTTAAGAATGAACTCATGTCTCCTGAATGCACCAGGGTTATGAGATTCCTGCTCGTTAATGACTAAAATCTCCCCCAAAGGGTCTGGATCTCATGAAGACTGAAAATGGAATGATTCCAGGAGAAAAGGTTTCTGGGCAACGTCAATCTGAGTTGCCACTGGATTCCCAGAGCTCAGCACTGAGCCCGGCACAGAGCGGTGCCTGCCAGATTTGTGCAGTTGACCCAAGATGGGGCTTCCCGGAAACGGGTGAACCCACCCCTGTGGGTCCTGACCCCATAGATATCTGGAGCTCCCTCCTCACCTCACAGACCTCAGAGGGTATCAACTACAACCCCAGACATGCAGGACAAGGTCGATTGAAGCTACAGAAACAGAGTACTAGACTGGACACATTGAAAGAGTGTTTTACAAAGTGTGGCCCTAGACCATCAGCCAGGTGGTCTCCCCCCTGGGAACCATGGGGCACTAGACTCCTGGTACCTGCCCCACACCTACTGATTCACAATATCTAGGTCTGGAGCACAGGAATATGTGTTTCTGACAAGCTTCCAAGGTGATTCCCATGTACAGTAAGTGTGGAGGGCTCTTCATCCCAAAACATTTTTAATTCTGGGAAGATTCTCTCATCCACCTAAGTTAGTGTAGGAGGGGCCTGCCCAGAGCCTGAGAAACGTGTCAGAATCAGCCACCTAGAAGTCTCAGTTCCCACCCTCTGACCTCTTCCGCTTGGTCATGCCTCACTCAATAAGTCCATCCAAGAGTATTGACTGAAGGTGCAGTCAGGGACAGTTAAAATCTCAAACCGGGGCTACACCTCCCTGCTAATCCCCTGGAAGGCGGAACTCCCCAGTTGGGGCCCTCACTTCTTTTTGAAGTCCTCCACGAGGTCCTGCATGTTCTTCAGCTCTCCTTCCAGGTTCCCCCTCTCCCCCAGAACCAAATCCAACTGCCTGCGTAGGAAACTGATGTAGGATTCAAAGAGAGGCTCCAGGTTGTTGGGGCCTGAGCCAGTGCCTGTGGTCTGCTGCTGGAGCAGGTTCCACTTGGTCTCCAGGACCTTGTTCTGCTGCTCCAGGAACCGCACCTGCATCAGGTGAGAAAGACAAGGAGTCAGCCTCCTGAGTTGGGCAAGTGGGGCCAGGCAGCCCAAAGAGTAGAAAATGAACCCAGTTCTCCAATCAGCGATAACCTCTGTTGTGCTGTGTTTTGTTTTTAACTTGGAAGAGTGAGAATTTAGACGAGTGAGAGCTAGAATATGTTTATACCTAGTATCTTCACTTATTCTATCTCAGTTAATCCTCACAACCACCTATAAAGGAGGTGTTACTATATCTCCTCTGTAGACAAGGAAACAGAGTCTCAAACAGTTTAACTTGCCCAAAGTGACATGGCTACTACGTGACAAAGCTAAGGGTCACACTCAACACTACCTTATTCTACTAGGATCCTTTGGAACACCTCTACAGGAGGCCAGCATAAATAAAGTTATTTATAATTGTTTTTCAAGTGAACGTTTTACCTCCCTACAGGCATTGAAAATAGTCAACAAGGTCTAACTTTTCCTAAATTGGGCCATATTGTCCCTAATTGTTTCCCCTTCCAGTTACTCAGCTTACAGCTGACTTGGGTTTAACTTCACACTCCCGGTTCATTCCCCCAGACCCAGCACACCTTTCCCTGCCCCAGCATAGATAGCTTGAATCAAGAAGGTGAGCCTGGGTGGCTCAGCTGGTTGGGCATCTGACTTCAGCTCCGGTCATGATCTTGCAGCTCATGAGTTCAAGCCCCACGTCGGGCTCTGTGCTGACAGCTCAGAGCCTGGGGCCTGCTTTGGATTCTGTGTCTCCCTCTTTCTCTGCCATGCTCCTGCTCATGCTCTGACTCTCTTTCGCTCTCAAAAATAAACAAACATTTAAGAAAAAAGAATTTATTTAAAGGTGAGTCAGTTGCTGAGACCCACCACTAAGAGATAGTTCCACAGTTCTTAGTAATGCAAGTTTGAGTTCCAGCTCAATTCCAGTTCAATTATCCAGAAGTTTCTTTGCAAGAGAAATTGAATGTTAGCTATAATAAGCTCATGGCTAATACCCCAGTCTTAAAAGGGAGAAGGAGCATGTTTGGACCCTCACTTCATTTTCCCTAGTCCTATCCCTAGAAGGAAATTGGGAACTGGATTCCCTTTCCTTCCCCTGTTTCACAGCTAGGAAAACGGGGTCTGAAGAGCAAAAGAGTCATGTTCGCTGTCCTAAAGGGCCCAAGGTAGAACCAGGACAAGAAGCCAATACCTCAGGGGTGCCCAGGTGGCTCGGTTGGTTAAGAGTCCGACTTCAGCTCAGGTCATGATCTCACAGTTCATGAGTTTGAGCCCCACATCGGGCTCTGTGCTGACAGCTCAGAGCCTGGAGCCTGCTTCAGATTCTGTGTCTCCCTCCCTCTGCCCCTCCCCTGCTCATTCTCTCTCTCTCTCTCTCTCTCTCTCTCTCTCTCAAAAATAAATAAAACATTAAAAAAATTAGAAAAAAAAAGAAGAAGCCAATACCT